TATTTATATATATATTTATATATATATTTATATATATATTTATATATATATATATATATATATATATATATATATATATATATATATATATATATTATATATATATATATATTTATATATATATATATATTTGTATATATATATATATATTTATATATATATATATATATATATATATTTATATATATATATATATATATATATATATATATACATATATATATATATATATATATATATATATATATATATATATATATATATATATATATATATATTAGCTGAATAATTATTTGGTTGAAACACAAACACTTCCTTGTGCTAACGCGTGCGCAACCGCATGCTAAAACTATCAAAGAAGGAGATTGAGACAGAGGCACCAGTTTTAGGGGCCAGGTGGACGGGCGCAGACAGGCAGGCGATATCCGAGCAGACAGCTTGCCGCCAACGCCGATGGCTTGCGCCGCCGCTCTCCCCCTTGCTTGCCGCTCCAGAGGGGAAAGCACCTGCCTGCATTCCGGTGCCACGTCACGTGACGGCTCGTGTGGCGGCGTCTTCCGTCCCTTTTCCCCTCCCCTTCCTCCCCCACCCTCTCCCCGCCCTCCCCTCACTCCCTCGCACTCGCCCCCTCCCCTCTTCCCACCCTTCTATTCCCCTCCTTCTCCTCCCCTCCCTCACTCCTCCCCTCCCTCTCATTTCCTCCCTTGTCCCACCCCTCTCCTCACTCTTCACGCCCCCCCCTACACCTGCCCTTCTCCCCCACTCCCTCCCCACACCTCCACACCCTCCTCCCCCACTGTAGTCCGAATGCTTGAAGGTTGGACAGTGGAGTGCTTGTACTTTTTCAGGGTCGTGTTATCGATTTCGCGTCCTCGGTTTTCTGGAGCTGAATGAAAGAATGTATCGACTCGTGTCTTAGTGTTGGTTATTGATTGTAATTTTATAGCTTGGATAGATATATCTTCCTTGTTTTTGTTTGTTTCTTTGTTCATACACACACACACACAATATTATATATATATATATATATATATATATATATATATATATATATATATATATATATATATATATATATAGTGATATACTGTTCTGCGATCTTTCTGTAAAGTTCTAATAAGGATTCTTTTTTATGAATAAACTGTAAGTATAGTTACAAACACCTAATTTACGTGAGAAGTAAGGAGCGAATTTTTACTCTTTCGTTCTTTCATTTTTTTCTTTCTTTCTCTTCACTTTTTAACTCATTTTAGACCCGAGAGCATCTCTTAAGGATTGTGTGAAATTTTAATGATTCCTCATCCCGTCTCAGGTCGGCTTTGCCATTACCCTATTAAAGTTAGAGAGGGAGGCAGAGAGAAAAAAGGGAGAGGGAGAAGGAAAGTTGAAAGGGAGGGATGGAGGGAGACAGGCAAAAATGAGAGAGAGAGAGAGAGAGAGAGAGAGAGAGAGAGAGAGAGAGAGAGAGAGAGAGAGAGAGAGAGAGAGAGAGAGAGAGAGAGAGAGAAGGGGGGGAGGGGGGGCAAATATATGTATATATATTTACATATATATATATATATATATATATATATATATATATATATATAATATATATATATATATATATATATATATATATATATATATATATAGCATATATATATATAGAGAGAGAGAGATAGACAGAGAGCGAGAGATAGACAGAGAGCGAGAGATAGACAGAGACAGAGAGATAGACAGAGAGAGGGAGTGATAGACAGAGGTAGTGATATAAGCAAAGAGAGGGAGAGAGAGAGAGAGAGAGAGAGAGAGAGAGAGAGAGAGAGAGAGAGAGAGAGAGAGAGAGAGAGAGAGAGAGAGAGAGAGAGAGAGAGAGGTGGGAGTAGAGAGAGAGGAGATAATGAAGAGAGAGAGAGAGAGGGGGGATGGGGGCAGAGAGGGAGGAGAGAATGGAGAGAGAGAGAGGTGGGGGCAGAGAGAGAGGGGATAGGCAGAGATGGGCACAGAGAGAGAGAGACAGACAGACAGAGGCAGAGAGTGAAAAAGAAAGAGAAAGAGAGTCATTACAAACGCACAAGTTACAAACAAGTGTCATTGTATAATAATCATAAACACATGATGAGAGTTATAACATGTTGTTGCAATAGTGAGTGGACCGGCGTCTATTAGTGCTGCATTTGCATTAACATCGGAGGTAATGGATGAATTTTTGAAAATTAATTAAAAGCGAATATGTTTTCTCTCTTTCTGAGCCGGTTTTCGCACAGGGGAAAAAATAGGAGGAAATATGTATATGATGATAATTCTTTATCTTAATGGTCAACTTAACACACTGCCTTTTATTATATATATTCTTTTTAAATTTTCACTTCATAAATCACTTTGATCAGTAAGGGATAGTGGGAAAAACGGTCCAGGACCAAACAAGCAAACGAGGGAGTGTGGCTGAGGTGTGAGTCATGCTAGGGGAAGGGGGGAGGGGGGAATGGGGAAGGGGGGGGAGGGGATCGGAGGGGTGGAGATGGGGGATAGAGAGGGAGGAGAGAAGGAGGGGAGGGGGTAGGGAATGGGGGGATAGGGAAGGAGTGGCGGAGGGGAAGGGTGGGTAGGGGTAGGGAAGGAGAGACGGAAGTGGGGAATGGAGAGAGGGAAGGAGTGGCGGATAGGTGGGATGGAAGTAGGGAGGGAGATGTATGGGAGGAGGAGAGACGGAGGTGGGGAGAGGGGAGAAGGAAGGAGTGAAGGGGGGGGAGGTTGGAATAGGGAAGGATGCAAAGGTAGGGAATGGGGGATAGGGAAGGAGTGGCGGAGTGGTGGGGTGGCAGTAGGGAGGGAGGAGATGTAGGGGAGGAGGAGAGACGGAAGAGGGGAATGCGGAGAAGGAAGGAGGAGTGACGGAGGGAAGGAGGTGTGGGATAGGGAGGGAGGGGGCGATGGGAAGGAGTGGTGGAGGGGAAAGGTTGGGAGACAGGGAGGGACTAAACCTGGAGAGGAGGGAGGAGGAAGGGCTAGGAAGTGAAGAGAGAATAGCAAGAGTGTGGGGAAAGCCAGATAAGGGGGAGGGAGAGAAGGCAGTTGGGAAGGGTCAGGGAAGGGTCGGGGGAGCGGGGGGGGGAAAGAGGGGGGGAGGGAAAAGCCTTAGTCCTCCGCTTGCATGGGTGACCGGCTGCCGGCGCGGGTGACTGGCTGGCCGAACGGGGACTCTGGCAGCGAAGACTGGAGGAGACTGAGAGAGACTGGAAGTAACCGAGAGAGACTGAAAGCTACTGAGGAAGACTGGATGAACTTGTGGGCGAGGTTCTAGAGGCGCCACAGGTTCTAGGACTCTTTCATTAATAGAGTTTCTGTTTTTCGTTTAATGAGCTTTTTTCTTATTTTCCTGATGGGGAACTGGCGACTTTCTCGGAAGATGTTGACGAAAATAAACTATCGCTTGGAATTTCTTCCGTCTTTCTCTCCTTTGTTTCTGCCTTGCTTAATATCTCTTTTCCTTCACTCTCTTTCTCATTTGAGAGATAATGAGATGCTTCCTCCTCCTCTCCCTCTGTCTCTCCCCTCCGTCTCCCTCTCCTTCCTCCCCTTTCCTTTCCTCTATCTCCTCCTCTCCCTCTCCTTCTCCTTCTTCTCCTTCTCCTTCTCCTTCTCCTTCTTCCTCGCCTTCCCCCTTGCATTCCCCCTTCTCCTCTTACCTTCCATCCTTTACTCTCCCCCCTCTCTCTCCCCTCCCTTACACCGTCGCCATTTTGCCAATAGCTCCTGTTTCTCTGCCATTTTTGTCGGTAATTGAACATAAACTAGACGCTAAGGTAAAGATACAGATGAAAAGAGGCAAACCCCGTTCCCCGCAGGACTTCTAAGTGGCAGCCAATACAACGAAACACGTTTGATACATGTTGGCAAGACGTGTGTCCCTTATCTTATCTATCGTCCGCGTTATTGTGTGGGGGAGAATCACTGTTGAAATGTTGAAATGTCTTTGTATTGTTTGGATGAATGGGTTTATTCATTTTTTGCTTAGTTTGTTGGTGCGTTTTATCAATAATATATCTTTCTAATTTGGCTGTGTTAATGGTCGGACAAAACACAATACCGCATTCAATGCCATGACCGAAAGAACCACTGTGCAGACATTATACGTATTTTGCGATTATTGTTAATTTAGTTTGAACACTTCAGCAACAGTATATTATTGGAAGTTTAACGGTTTATTCTAGCAGTAACATTTTCTTGACGGTTAATTGTTTATTTCAAAGAACAGCATATCCTTGTTAGTTTAACAATATATGCTAAGAATAACCTATTTTTGTCATTTGTTTTATCTACTAGCAGTTATATTTTTTGCTCAAGTAAGGGTATGTTCTAGTAATGATATATTCTTGTCAGTCGAATGATATATTTTAGCAGTAATAATTTCTTATCGGTGTGATGGCATTTTCCAGCAGTAATACTTGGCAGTTCTCAAAGTCTGCTACAGTTACTCTCTGAGGAAAGAAAGTTGGCCAAGTTTCTCGCTCTCGGCTCGGGTTAGGACCCTTGGACTTCACACGCTCACAAGTGACGTCAGTTGACTTCACTTTATTTTCCTTTCTGTCGCCCTCTTGTGCCGTTCCGAACAGTGATATCGAATTCTAAGTGACGTCATAGTACTGCAGTGCCACGCCGAATGTATGAGCGAGGTTGGGAAACTGCAGCGCTAAACGAGGCGACAGACAGAAGTCACTGAATGCTGGACATCAGTGAGGTTTAGTGCCAAATGGGGATTGTATGTATGCTTGTCTCACCGAAAGTGAAAAAGCTGCAGTGCCATAAAGTATGTGACGTCACGAAGCTACTGCAGTAGTACTTGTAGTGACGTCACGGTGAAGCAAGCTTCGAAGTGGTCGCCATCCCCGGGCTGCTGAGCGGCTCGCTGGCTGCCAACAGCCCCCTCCTCTTCCTCCTCCTCCTCCTCCGCCGCCGCCGCCGCCGCCCCCTCCTCCCTCCTCCCTCCGGGCCCATCCTGTGGCGGGGAGAACCTCGCAGTCCAGTACAGCGCCGGCCGGTGAGCGGTGCAGTGTGTGGCTTCTTGCTGCTGCGGTGTGTGCTCTTGTGCTGCGTCCCTCTGTGTGCTTCCGTGCTCGCTTGTGTTCGCGTTCGCGTACGACCCCGCCTCCGGTCCTGCTGGCGCGGGGCAGGCACGGCAGGCCGCTCTTTTAGGACTTCTAGGCCTGTTCTGGCGGCGGTGCCAGCTTGGAGGACATACTGCCTGCTAGAGGAGGAGGAAAGGAAAGGACTTTGAAATTCTTATTGGGAGATCCTGCCGCGGCGGCGTTCGTGCGGGCGTCGAGGGCCAGGGGGCGCCGCCGTCGGAAGTGGCACTGGCGCGGAGGTCTACGCCGAGACGCCGCCAGTGCATGAGGCGAAGGAGGCGCGGTGCTGGAGATCGCTGTCGCTCGGTGCCGGCTGCCGGAAGACAGAGAAAGAGATGATAAAAAGAGGAATAAGGATAATAATGTGTCCTTTTGTAACAGGTTTTGCGCGTAGGTATGTTCCTCCCAGTCCATGTGGCCGAAGCGCGTCCGCCCTTCCAGGGGACCGATGCCGGGTCCGGAAGGGCGCGTTGGGGTTCGGGGACGGGTTCGAATACTGTGGGAAGAGGGGAGGAAGAGAGAGAGAGAGAGAGAGAGAGAGAGAGAGAGAGAGAGAGAGAGAGAGAGAGAGAGAGAGAGAGAGAGAGAGAGAGAGAGACTGGTGGTGGAGGAGCTGGTGGAGAGACGCCTCGCCCGCCGCACGCCCCCTCCCTCCCTCCCGGACGCCATGGACGACGGTTCGTGTGTCCGGCGCCCCCGGATCGCGATTCGGAAACTGTCAACGCCGAGACAGACCTCATGAATGCTTCATGCTTGAGTTCCGAGACAGATGTGACAGGAGTGCCGTCCACTCGGCGAAGTGTATCGATTCGTTTCTGTCTGGACCTGAAAAATCAATAAGAGAGAGAGAGAGAGAGGGCCGGGCTTGGGCCACGCCTCTCTTAGTCTGTTGGGTGTGTTGGTGTCTTCCGCCGCTCCCCGCCGCATATTTAGCGACTTTTTTCTCCTGTTTCTCTTCCCTTTTCCGTGTTTAGAGCAAGGCTTATTCTGTTTTTGGATGAAAATCATCTCCGTAGAGCAATCTGTTCGCCTGAGGGAGAGGGGAATGCGAGGGGAGAGAGAGGGAAGGCCTCGTGTTGCGGCAATGGGAGAGTGAGGGCGACTGCCTCTACTACACACTGCCCAACTTGGTGCATAGGCAGAGGGGTCTACGTGTACAGATTCTGTGGCTTGGTTTTCTTTGGGTGAAGGAAAGGAGGAATAGTAGCAGAGGGGAGGGGGAAAAGGAGGAGGAAGAATAGGAGGAAAGGAAGAAAGAGAAAAAAGAGACGAGAGCGAAGAAGCAGGAGCTGTAACATTGTGGCGCTTTCTGGACAATTAGAAGGGCTTTTAAAACCTTGCATGACTGCAGACTCTGTGATTATCTTCGGCCAAACAGCTCCATCGATACGCCGCTTGCATACACAGGAACCCCCTCCGCTAGCATGTGTTTCGAGGGGAGAGGGGAAGGGGTAAGAGGGGAAGTGGGGGAGAGATTGTGGAAGGGTCGGAGGTCATGAATCAATGATAGGGTCATGCACAAGCCATTTTCGCCCTTCTCGATGCTACTGGCGAACGTTTCTCTCGATCTATCTATCTATCTATCTATTTATCTATCTGTCTATCTATCTATATCTATCTCCCTTTCCCCTCTACCCTCTCCCTCCGTCTCTCCCTCCCTCTGTTCCTCCCTCCCTCCTTTTTCTCTTTTTGTAAGTTCCGTTCTTCTTGCTATCAATCTTCATCGCCAACTATCGCAGGTTTTACAGTAGAGCCCGACATCTATACGTCTTCATTGGTTTTATAATATGTCTTCGCTATTCTCTGTGTGAATATTTGGTTCTTATCACAGCTGTTAATTCTTACTTCCTTCGTATCGGTGCTGTTATCAGATTGCACCAGACGATTCCGGTATGCGTGTTTGCTTGTGAATGCATTGTTTTGTTGGTCATTCATATGTCCTTGTTAACTCTGGTTTCCATGTCTAACAATGTGCAGCGATTTCCTTGTCACTTTCGTATTTCTCGTATTTTCAATTTAAGAGAATACATGTTCTTACAAACTTCATATATTAAATAGATTTTTAGTCCCAAGTTCGTCAATTGAAAGCGAATATTCAGTCAGCCTCGCGTTCTAAATGTAACTGGCCGGTTGGTTTCGTTTATTGAACTTTGGCGTACTCGCGGCCTGGCATATTGAACTTTCTTGCAGGCCTCTCGTCCGCGGGCAAAACCATGCCGACTTTTGCTGTTTTCCACAATGATTTGAGTTGGATAATTAATGCCATTATCTGGTTTCGTTTTTGGTGTTTAATTTCCTCGCTTTCTTTGTGCTAATGTTAATTCCTTTTTTTTTGTTTCTCTCTCTCTGTCTGTCTGTCTGTCTGTCTGTCTGTCTGTCTGTCTGTCTGTCTGTCTGTCTCTCCCTCTCTCCCCCTCCCCCCCTCTCCCCCCCCCCCTCTCTCTCTCTCTCTCTCTCTCTCTCTCTCTCTCTCTCTCTCTCTCTCTCTCTCTCTCTCTCTCTCTCTCTCTCTCTCTCTCTCTCTCTCTCTCTCTCTCTCTCTCTCTCTCTCTCTCTCTCTCTCTCTCTCTCTCGCACACATCTTTTTTCCTTTTCCTTTCTTTCAACTCCAGAACATTCCCATCGTAAATTCCCAACAAGCCACATGTTAGACGTTGCTTCCTCCCCACCTCCTTCCTCCCTCCATTCTTTCCCTCTTTTATCCTTCTCATTCCCACCTTTTATTATTCTTATTTCTCCTTCCGCCCCCGCCCCGGGTGTGTGCTAATGCCCGCCCGGCGAAACGCATTCGCTCGGCCTGGCTATGAAGCTGAATTTATGTGGTGTTGTTGGTTGCCAAGTTTCGGCCGTTTGTGGTGCGTTCGCATTTTATCGTGTTGCCGGGTTGTTCCTTCCTCGTATTTCTTCTTTTATTTCCTGTTATGTCCTGTTTTCTCTCTTTCTTTTCAAACTCTCGCCTTCGGTACACACCTGCTTACCGGGAGGCTCGTCTGCATGGCGAGTTACGTCACTGCTTGCCCCTCTCACCGCTTGCTTTCCGGGGCGTCACCGCGATGGGGCGTCTGTGGATCGGCAGTTCACGTACCTTCCAGAGAGGGCGTATGAGGAACGAGATCTCGCTTTGCCACGCTGCGTTTTGGGCGTCATTGCCTTTCTTAATTTCATATCGGAGGACTTTTGGGTTACTTTCTGAGACTTACTCGTTCTGTTGCGCTCACTCCTGCTGATACTACTTTTACTCGTACTCTTGCTGTTGCTGCTGCTTCTACTTCTCAGCCTAATTGTACTCCTACTCTTACTTAGGTTCTTACTTTTATTTTTACTTACACTCGACTCTTGTTCCTATTCTTAATCTAACTTTTACTCATATTCTTACTTACACTCTACTCTTACTCTTACTCTAACTCTAACTCTTCTTCTCTTACTCTCACTATAGGTTTTCCTTCTCGACTACAGGTATGCGGAGGTACGTTAGTAATGTTGGTATACCTGTCATAGCTGAGCGCGGGAATCCAATCCGTTTGCTGAGTCTGTTTAATCAATAGAAGGTACTTTCTCACGTCAGCTCTTACGATCAATGAGTCAAAACAAAACACATAAATAAAAGCAAAAAAAAGATAAATAGTTAATAAAAAGATAATTAAAAACTCCTTCTACAGCTTTTGTTAAGATATTCCGTGCCTCGTGATGCAGAGTACATGACTGCTATAGGCCTGTCGCGTGCGTGATTCCTATAGGCATGCACGTGTGGCTGTTCACGTCATGCGAGGCTCTCATCGCTTGGCCTTCACATGCTAGCGGCCTCTCATGCAACCTGGGGTCAGGCAGAGAGTCATTCATGGCCTCTCCTGGGCCGTGCGAGAGAGGGGTCCTGCATGAACTCCTACGCTAGTTCGGGAAGAAAAGAGAGCGTCATGCACAGCGTCGTAGGCACCTTCATGCGAAGTGACTGCCCTCGCGCGGTTCACAGATTGAGTGTCGTTCGCTGACGGTGTGGCGCGGGCTTATGGCGTGCTGTTGCTGCGGTTGACCAGTGACACGGGGCTGCGGCCGGACCGTTTGGCGGAGGGCGAGTCCGAAGGAGTTATTATTATTATTATTATCATTATAATTACCATTATCATTATCATTATTTCATGGCCCTGCCTTCCATCGCCATTAGAACACGTCATTCGTCCTTCTTATCTCCACTTCTCCACCGACTCTACGCCTGCAACCCATATACATTCCAAAAAAAGAAAAATGTGAAATGGTTTTCAAAAGGTATGGAAGAGTTGCGTTATCCGTTCCGAACCTTAGGAAGCCCCACGCGAAGGGAACGGATTGTCAGGGTTGTCTCGCCGGCCGCTGGTTGAGACCGCCCACGCCGCCCCGCCGCCCCGCCCTCCCTTTCCGGGGATTTTTCTGTGAAGGCGAAGTTAAGTGTTACGTAATGGCTTGTGTCTTACGGATAGATTTGTGTCTCGGGGATGGGTGTCCTCAAGGGGTGTATTTGGAGTATGTATGTATGTGTGTGGGATATGTGGAGGTATATGGTATGCGTACACAAGTACTTTATACGAGCACACATGCATGTGTGTACATACATGTATACGTGCACGTATACATGCACATACACATACATATACATATACATATACATATACATATACATATAAATCTACATATACATTATATATACACATGTCCTTACATACAATCTGCATATACATATACACCAAACGTATCTGTCTCTTCAACTACACGCACGCACGCACACGCACACACACTTCTTTTAACTATATATCCTTGCAAGACGGAGTTTCCTGCTCAACGTTCCGAGTCAGTGTAAGTTCGTCCGTGTCGGAATCCACGAAGTTGTTTTAATAATATTCTTAGAAATCCTGATTAGAACGCCGTGTGTGCGTGTATGTGTGTGCACGTGCGTATGTGTGTGTGTGTGTGTGT